CAGCTCAGCTGGTTAGCAAGCTCAAGGAAATCCTCCACATACCGCGCCAACCTCCGACCAGCCTGCCGCAAACCCCACAGCTTGTCCAAAACAGTCATCTGTTTTGGTCCGGTCATCTGTCACGTTTCGTTGTGGCAAGGGAGAACGCAGGAGTCTCAAACTTCACTTGAATAGAGTTTAATACTGAAAACGCAGGGGACATACAACTCAGGAGCAAAATCAAACAACTAGTAACAAAGTTGACCGGACCAGGAATGGAGGAACAAACAGGAACTAATATACATATGATAATTAACAAAACAGGTGCATAGAATAATCAATCAACTCAACAAGAATAGGAGAATGACCATAAAAGGAAACTCAGGAACAAGGACAGGGATAAAACACGGAAAAACAAGTCCACAACACTGACATGCGGTTTTGTGTCTACTACAATAAAAAAATATCAGCCCTGAATTCAGGCAGGTTGGCCAATCTCCAATCATAGTATCAAGATGCCTATTGGCCGATAAAGATTGGTAGCCAGTAAATATGGATATCTTTAATAACTAGAAATGAAAAAAAAATATGAACAAACATATTTGACTGTTATTTATTATATTTAGCAAGTCGGTACTTGTCATTCATTGTTGTTTTTAGCTCAAGTTTTATGTAATGCTTAGTCATTTTTTCACTGTATTGTTGTTTGATTAATAATACTAGACATACTAGACAGCAGCAGGTCTGTTCTCAGTCTGAGTCTGTTCTAACAGGCAGCAGAAATGGCCTGTGGCTCTTTCAATGTTCTTGTGGCCTAGAGACGTCGGGATTTCTCTCTCACACTCTTTTACTCTGGCCATATAGTGCCCTGCAGCGGATCTGATAAGCCAGTAGATCGTGTCCCACGCTGGTGGCAGCAGTTGAAAGCCCTGATCCGCAGTTAGCCAGAGGGCTGGGAGGCTCACACAAAAATCCTGCTCATGCCACATCAAAACATGCTTCCCAAAATACATGAGAAGAAAGACGCCGCTTCAGGAATGACCAGCGGCCATCGTGACGAAAGTTTCAGCTGCACTTTGTGTTTGTGTAAGCGTAGGTGTGTGCTTACTCCTCTCTTGTGTGTGCGAGTTTGACAACCTGAAGAGCCCGTGACACAAGTTCTAACATGCCACTAAAGAAAAATGTTGAACTTTTGATCCCAGAAATATTGAGGCACATTAAAAGCCTGAGGTTGCACTAGGTGAGGGAAGTTAATTAATGGTGCCTGCTACTGTAAGGGGTGGCAATCAAGATGACTCACAAATCACTCTTAAACTCATGAGTAATTGTTTTATATTGGTCCTCAAGGTACTGAAAGAAATGCAAATGTATGTAATAATAAATACATTAAGTAGAATCAGAACTGGAACCATACAGTACACTCCATACGATTCCCATGAGTGTTGAAATACTAATGAGGACTGTTCAAATGTCATTATGTGTGTGTACTTTGTTATCTTCCTCTACCTGCCGTTTCCTGTCCAGTATTATTCATCTGTGTCCTTCTGAACAGATGGGCTCTTTCATCAGTGTCTCACAGCACAATACATGTCGTTTTGTGTTTGCTCTGAACATTGGCAGATTCTTAACTGACTCTTTTAATGACTGATCTTAAAAACAAAAAAAGACTGGAGGTGTTTCTCTGTTGATGTAGAGGAAACTCAACACTGTAATTCAGACATTTCTATGCTTTGGCTTTTTGTAAATGGGTCATGTCATGAAAAACATTGACAACTTTTTCTCCAGTCAACCCAGACTGAAACAAAAAACACCAAAAGTGCTTAGAAATTATTATTATAGTTATGACATCACTGCATTGAGCTTGTTAACATACAACCATCCACATTTACATATTAAGATCTTTTCAGTATTGAGCTTGACCTGTCCTGATGAATGTCATTGTGAACTACACCATCATTGCAGAAGCTTGTCAATCATTTACATGTAGAAGTCTTAATCAGCCTGTTTAATTTGAATGGTCAGAGAGAAAAACTAAATTAATTAGGCATAATTGTAATAAATTGTGTTTTTGGTGCAAGAAACCTTCATTGACATGGTCACACTTTATTTTAAGGTCCAATTCTCGCTATTAACAAACCATTAACTACGACCTTTGCCTCAATAAACTCCTAATTTGCTGCTTATTAAAAGTTAGTAGGGTAGTTGTTAAGTTTAGGTATTGGGTAGGATTAGTGATGTAGAATATGGTCATGCAGAATATGTGCTTTATAAGTACTAATAAACAGCCAATATGTTAATAATAGGCATGCTAATAAGCAACTAGCTAATAGTGACAATTGGTCCCTATACTAGTGTTACCATTTGCATTATACATAGAATTTCATTTCATCTGTTCTTCATTTGTAGATTGAGGTGAGGACTAAAGTCTTGGAGGCCAAACATCAAGAGGATACACTGAGGATGCAGCAGAAACATGACGCAGAGATTCAGAAGGTGAATCAATTGACCTGTCAAATATTTTATAAGGGATTCTTCACCCAAAAATTCTCTCATCATTTACGCACCCTCATGCAGTGCCAGATGTATATGACTTGCTTTCTTCAGATGAACCCAAACAATGATTTTTGGAAAAATAGTCTCTGTGGGTCCATGTAATGCAAATGTACAGGTTTAAATGTTCAGGTTTATAGTTTAAAAGGTTAAAATGTAAGCCCACTTGCATTATATGGACAGAAATTGATTATTTATGTTTATAAAATATTCTTGGTTTTCATCTGAAAAAAGGAAGTAATTTTCATCTGGAACAGCGTGAGGGTGAGAGTGAGAGAATTTTGGTTTTTGGATGGAGTATCCCTTCAAGCTGAAATTCCACATCTTCTCCTTCAAACTATGTACAAACTAAAGTTTATATAATATGTAAAAAAGCCATGCAATTTTTAAATAACAAAATTATTAATTATATTAAACACAAGAAGATTAGAACCACAAACCAAGTTCAAAATTCCAAGTTCAGCCCAGTTTGCTGTTAATAGTGGAGAAAATGGAAGATGATGAGTTTATAATGACAAGTATACTGATGATACACAGATTGACTGCTCACATCTTGCAAGTTGGGTTCTGCAAACCTCCCAGACGACTGTCTCACTCATTAAAATTTATTGTTTTAGTGATACTGATTTTATGTGCATGTGCTGTGTCAGTATCTCCTCTGTTACTTCCACATTTATTGTCTTTTTCATTCAGTCCCAGTGACATCACACCTTAATTCTGCTTTAATAAAGTCTATTAAATGGCCTAGGTCTACAGATGTTTATGTATCCCCACCCCTTTATAAGCAGAAACATGATTCTTGGCAGACTGTTGTCTTTCACGGCATCCCTAAAAGTCCAACGGCCTCTGGACCTCGTCCTCGACACTCTGTTATGACTCTGCTGTCTGTCTGAAAAGAGCTCTTTAAGGAGACAATGGGAAAATTGTGTGTGTCCCTAAATGTTCCACGAACTTCCCTTTAACCTCCCTAACGCCCCCTCTTTCCCTCACTCTCAGCTGCAAGCTTTCATCTTTCACAGGCGACCGGCTTGCAGGATGATGAGCTTAGCAACAGAGTGCACTTCTGACGGACAAAAAGCAGGATAAATAATCCACTGATGGGCTCGCTGACTTTTCAGAGGGAGAAAATAATAACTTTTGGGAGGTATTTTTGGTTTGAATGAAGTTGCATCTGCGTTTGAAGGACCAGGTCTGAAATGGTACTCTTGTCAGTGATGTCCGTCCTCTCTTCACTAAACACTGCTGTATTAGGCCTCATGAGGGACCATCACCCCCAACCTCAGAGAGTACATCTGTAAATAGGAGCTCTTACTGCTGCCAAAGGCCTTTGAAGACTATTCTTGTTTAGTTTCTCCAATGGGTTTTGAACCTCAATAGCTTCCTGTGAATCTTTCATTAATTCTTTGCGATCAACATTCTTTGCGATCAACATTACATGAAATCTTAATTGGTTAATAAGACATTCTTTTGTTGGTGATTGTGTCTGCTTTGCTCTTAATGAGCACTGTTGTTTGGTTCTGAAAGACTCAGATGTGCTTGTTCGGAGAATGTCAATATTTGCTCAGGTGCATCTTTCTTTGAAGACCCTATAAACACCACACACACGCGGTGCAGTGGTGTCCGTTGGTGGGCTCGCTTGAGTCCAGGGGCGAGCGGGCCGGTGCGTGTGCCCTGTCATGTCCTCCGAGCCATTGATCTCCGTAGGGTCCTTTGAGATTTACAGACCCCTGGTTGCAACGCCGCTGTCCACCCTCACTGAGACAATCGCCGACAGCCTTTGAACTCCCACTCGGACACAGACGGCTTGTAGAAGGTCAGGCCATCAAAGGAGTTACAGCGGTCTCAACAAGCGGCTCTCTGCTGTGCAGCGGCCGCATCAGATAAAACACATTTCTGAAATGCCCGCCCGCCTCCCGCCCCACCTTGAGCCCAGGCATCTTATCGCCCACAGCTCAAGGCACAAGACTGGACCGCCGCTTGGGAACAAGCCCAGCAGATCTGCTGTTTATTTGGAGCTTGCTAAATGCAGGTTGCACTTGGCTCCCTCCCGCCACGAAGGATTTCTAAATTCCTTGGGTTCATCAAATGCCTGCACTGTGTGGCACAATGGGCGGATTGTCAAGGACTCGCAGAACCGGTCCATTGGAGTCTGGGAGCCCACCGCCGAGGTCTTTGAGAGATGAGGGACAAGGTCATGAGTGAGTTCCTCAAAGCTGTGGCTCAAGTCCTCTCAGATACGGGCAACACTCATTCATGCTTTCGAGAGTCTGGAATGTTAACACTCAACATGCTCCTGAGACACGTAACACTGTTTTCACTGAAAAGATTGCTCCATTTCCTTTTATCCATATTCCTTTTTTTATTTCCATTTATAATGCAAAATCTTTCACAAAATATAATTCCATCAGAAAACTTCAATGAGCGATTTTTGAAAATCTAGTTTATCTATTTATTTGGTATCTTTTGCTATTAAACATGCTTTTGTGAGAAGTGGTGGAGATTTCGATTCAGTCAAGAGATTGAACCAAAAGATTAGGGCTGGGCGATATAGCTAAAAAATTTATCAACGATATAATGTTTCATATCGTTCAGTATCGATAATTATTGACATTTTTTATAACCTTTTTTTAAAACAAAAAGCAATATAATTTTTTTTTTTTATTTAACCACTGTATTTATAATTAACACAATTTATTGAGACAAACAACAAATATTTTTT